GGAGGGGGAGGAGGGGGCACTGGCATGCTGTGGCCTCAAAGACCTGCAACAGAAAACACAAACTCCTCATTTTTGGCCGTCTGTTCTCTGCTTGTTTAGGGCTGGATTTCTGTCTGTAGCATTGATGAGCCAGGATGTCAAAATGACAAAACCTGTTCAACATCATCACTTGAAAGTGTCATAAAAGTATTACCTAAGTAGTTCATAACCATTGAACGTTGTGTTGTGGCCCGTTTTACCAACTTTGCTACTGATCACAGCCCAGCTCAGTGAGACTTCCTCTCTTCCTCCCTGAACAGGAAAAACTGTTTTCCACAGGGCCGGAAAACAGGAAACGAGCGAGCGCTCCATCCTCTTTTCAGAAATCTGACACGTACCCCCTGCCCCGTCCCCTTAGCCTTCCCATAATGCTGTGTGGTAAGGCCTCGGAAGCAGAACAATGGTGTGTGTTGTATGACAAGTAATAGACCCTCGAGTCAGTCCATGACAAAGGGCCCTCACTGCAGTGACTGAATGGGAATGACATCCAGTCAAGAGCTGCACATTACTGCTGTGTTTCTCAGCTTTTTACCAGAATGTGTGCAGAATGGATGCCTTCAGGAGCAACACTGTGTCAAACACTTCTTTACTGGGATTCACCACCAGCCTTTGTTTACATCGTAAATTCTAAATGTGTTCTCTGCCACCACCAAAAAGCTCATGTTTGCTCAGGTTCCTACTTTTCAAATGATCCAGTTCAGTTACACACGGAGCAGCATGAGCTCAGGTCAAGTCTCCTGGTCATTTATCGACTGATTCTGTGTGGCGTTCAGGTGCACGCTGCTACGTCTCCTCTGATACTGTTTCAAACGTCTCATCTGTGTCGGGGTGCGACCTCGAGGTGCAGATCAAAACTGGGCTCTGCTCATCAGAACCGATTCAGAACAGTTCTCGTTTGTTCAGCAGAAGTTGGATATTGAAGTGGCAGGAACAGGAAACATCAGCAACAGTCGTTTTGCTAATTTAAAGAATTTTTTAAAAAAATTGCGAAACAAAAAAGCTTTAAAACAACACTGCAAAATAACTGAGTCTAACTGCCTGAAAACGTTTACTTTGATAACAATTAACAAAAAAAGAGAGAGTCAAAGATTAGCCTGAATTTTGCTAAAAGTTAGCTCAGAAATAAAATGCAAAAATAAAATGCTAAAATAATTGGAAATATTTCACACTTGCAAATAATTGAATTCTAAATACAATTACCTGTTTGCTAACCAATAAACTAAACTTTTAAATTAAACGTCAGCTCTGAGAGGAGCTGACTGGAATGATAATGTAAATGGTAATCCATATACTGTAAACTGGTTCAAACAAACAAACAAACAAACATTCTAAGACACCAGAGTGGTTTCCATGGGGATGAGTGTGAAATAAACAGGGCACCGTGTGCAGTTTGATGTAGTGCATGAGCGCCTCGTCTGTCAACACTACATCTCTGTGTCGGTGCTTTAGAATAAGTCAAGGTCTGACTTACCTTCAGGGTTTGCAGAAAAAGCTTCTGTGAGAGACTGTCTTCATTGAACGCACCTCATCGCAGGGCAGACAGAAAAGTCTCCGGGTTATTTTTAGTCGAATGAGGACACAACTTCTACTCCGACTGTACTGTCGGCACTTACTGCGCCCCCCCAAAAAAAGAAAATAATTTTATGTCCACACAGCAAAAGCAGAACGCGTGTGTGGCTCTGACCTGTTTTATGGCTGCTGACGCTCTGTTTATTCCCTGTATGTGAGCCCAGCAGGAGGCGCACGCACACGGACCACACCTCGTACTGTAGACAGCACACGAGCACACGCACGCACTAACACGCACGCAGAGGCAACGGCCGACACGGGGTAGGTGTTTGACTCACTGTCACACCTTTAACTAATTAATTAACTAATTAAAATGTATCCTTAATCGAACACATGTGCAGCAGAACAGCGGTTCCAGATAAATGTTAGGAACTAACCGTTGTTTGTTTTGTGTGAATCTTAAAACTGTGGAGCGCACTTTCTGCAGCGCGCTTCTTTGACGCCCTCTTGTGTTTCAAATATGGTTGTACAGCTCACCCCTGGTGTATTTTTAGCAACTACTGCACCTGTGCTATCTCCGTGACAGTATGACTGCCAACCAGTAATATGATATGAAGCTAAACATAGCTCGGCAAAAGATAAAACACAACAGTCAACAACATAACAATTAAGTGTTTTTAAGTAATGAAAAAAATTACAGCCATTAGTTAGCTGAAAAGTAAATACTAAATGTTGGAATAGAAATAGCCTGTGGTAAAGCATAGAGTTTAAGTTAGTAAAAAAAAAAAGAAGTTTGCTAACTAGGAATAGCTTAAAATGTACCAAGTAATAGCAAGTATGAAATACATTTAACAGTACTGCAGGTATGTTAGCCAAAAGAAAAATAGAAAAAGCTATATACATTTTTTTTTAAGTCAGGGAAAAACACATTAGGGAATTAAAGGTTTTGGCAGACAAACATGAATGAAAGTTTTAAAAAAACAACTCGGCTTAGCCTATGATTTTAAATTCCATTTAGAATTTCCAATTTCTCTCTGTGTTTTTCTATTGATTTAAATTTGCCATAGCAACACCAATCAGCTTTGGACATACTTAAACTTTAAACTTAAACTTTATTACAAGACTTCCAAAATTCCTACAGGCTTCAGTACAAACTCCAAACGTTACTCACACTCACACACCCCCTCAAACCTTAACAGCAGCAGTGGAATGCAGTGACACAGGCATGTAAGGTCAGTGTAAGGGAGGAGCCCTGTTAGGCCTGCTTATGACATAAACAGACTTTTTTTTTTGGAAATGCTTTAAATACCTAGTAATTGTATTTCTCAGACGATATAATCTTCTCACAAAAGCCAGAGTTGTTCTTCCTGTAGCAGTGGCAATAACACATCTGGTCACAGGTGTCATTTTTAATCCACTTTTTGTACAGTTAATTCTTCCATCCACACATTATTGTCTGTGTTAAAACTAGACACACACACACACACACACACCAAAAGTTCACCCGAGGCTGCGTTTGATGACAGCGCCCACACTGACATTAATACACACACAAACTGTGATGGTATCAGTTACTAGATTTATTAGGCAAGTGATGCAGATACAGCAGTGCTGTCGCGTGACCTCCATCAGTGACCGGGTCAGACTTGGGCCACAGTACACGGCCACTGCTCCTTCAGCTGTAACACCTGACAGTTTTCACGTCATGTTAGAAAACATGCCACACTTCATCCTTCATTTGAAAAATAAAACAAAACAAAAAACATTTGATTCATTTGGCTGGCAAGTGCACACTAGCATCTCGTAGCTCCTAATGCTAACTGATTGTTTTTTTTTTTTCACATATTTGACCAAAAAAAATCAACTACACCTTCATTACATCCTTTAAACCCTGTTGAATCAGCGTATTTCTTTTGTAAAAGCGCAGTAAAGGAAGCATTCATCCTTCATCGTCGAAGAAATTACATTACTATTAGAGCAAAAAATGTAAACATCTCATCATCAACTCTGCTAGGAGCGTGTTTGTCTTTAGTACTGACAGGAGGACAGTGATTGTTCTTGTTAAAGGCAGCGGGTTGTAATCCAGTGTTGGGTTTGTCAGGGTGTGTTTACACTTGTCGTGCGCTTGTTGTGTTTAGGTTCGGACCAAAGTGTATGTAAACATTTTTGTATTCCTGAACCATGTGATGACATCAGCAGTGACGCCGACGCCGCAGATGACGTGGGCCGTGCTTCATCTCCTTGTTTTAGTTTCTTATTGCTTCACGGTTGCTAATTTGTGTTGGTTGCAACGACACACCTTTTTCCATTATCTGGAATTTGTCAATGACAGAGACATTTGGTCAGTTTAACACTCACAGAGGAGTGGAACTGAAGCACACTTGGTGAGCAGGTGGAGTTAGAAACTACTTTTTAGAAGCCTCGGTGCATTGAGGTTCAACTAAACTAAGTTTGACGGAGGGACAGAGTTTTACAGGACAGTTATCCTGGGGGTGGCCCATAAAAATGTAAACACTTTAATACACACTATATTTTTTATCTGAAATTTTAGAATCCAATCACACGGCAGATTTGATGGTTCATTTGGCGAGTTGATGACCTCTACTCTAGGGTTAACCCATAATGTTGGGAGGCGACAAGTGTGAATACACCCTGAGTTCTGCGTACAGTTCTCCTGTATCGACCCATGTGTGTTCTGTGGGTCAATGTTGGCAAAATGATTCAAAAACCATCATTTAAAAAAAAACACATTTCCACAGTCAATTCTTCAATATCTGTTACTTCACAATCTAAGTCCTGCAGGTTGAGTCTTCCTCGCCGTCCTAAAAACCTTCAGCAGACCTTTTGGAGTGTTTGAAGCCTCATCACACCCCTCCTTCATCTCTTCAAGTATCTCTGTAAAGCAGTCTCTCCTTCGTTCCTCCTCCTCATCATCTTATGTCCTCCTTCCCTGACGCGGCGTTCTCTGTCTCTTTCTCCTGTATTGGAAGGCCGGACCGCACCCTCCTCTTCTCTTTGAACCGCCCGGAGCGCGACACCTTCATGTTCCTGCGACATGACTGCTCATTGAAGACCGACTCCAAGTGGGAATCGTCGTAGGTCTCGTCGCTGAGGAGGCTTTTGTTCTTGGTGGAGTCCTGCGGGGCCTGCGATTGGTCGCCTGTGTTCTTGGCAACCGGTTCCGTCTGCTTCTGTGGACGCTGGGCGAACGGGTCAAAGTCTGGACCGAGGGCTGTGGGTGAGCCTGCCTCCTTGGGGCCGCCAGTCTTCTTCTTTGGAAGAAACGCCTTCCACCATGGAACCCGATCTGCCATCTTGGAGGAGAGTCAGGAACCTGGAACACAAAAGTCAGAATTAAAAATAGAATCAGTTTGAAACCAGTTTGAAACCAGTGTGAACGGTTCTGGCATTTGGCAGTATTTAAATGACTTTAACAATAGCTATACTGCAATATTTGTGTTTAAAATAAAAAATATATATAATAGCCATTGTGGTTATGGTATTTAATTAGATTAGATCAGATTAAATCAGATTAGATTTATTGATCTCTTACTAAGGAAACTGTTATATTAAAGCAACAAGGAAAATCAAGATAAAACGTAAAGGATAGTAATAATAAAAATATAATACAATATGTACTTTTTTTGGCAATATATACTTTCGGTATTTACACTAGAAACATATCCTGCATCATAGCTGCTGCATCTCCATCTCTCCATCAGTTTGAGCTCCTAAGAAAACCACAGCAGACCCTGGTGTAGAGGCCAGTGTTGTGACACTGCTACTGCTGCTGCCACCTGCTGTTTGTACAATTTTCTATCAATGGTTTATTGCATTTTATGGATCAAATGCAAGTTGTAACAAAAACTAACTACAATTATTGAGAACTCATCCAAGTCCAAACATTAATGTTAGCTAATATATATGGTGTAAATATGTTTTTCCTGTGCAACTTCTGTGACTTGAACCAAAATCTTTGTCCAAAACTCTCATAATGATCATAATCCTATAATTGACAGACCATTAAAACGAACCATCAAAACTCTATGTTACGCTGAGGTCTTCTGATTAAAAAGGTACGTTTTATTTATAGTGGGTTTGTTTGTTTGTTTAACCTGATTAATTTTAAGCTTTTAACCATTTTTTAATTGGTGAGACAACTTTAGTCCACCAACTAATCCAGTGAATAACCAGTATAACCGTGTGTATCTTTTCTGTTGAACTGGTTTAATGAGTCGTGGGAAGAGAAGAACAAATCCAGGCTGTGATTCACGGCCAAACAATGCGTAAAAAGAGTGCTGTATTGTTGAGTGCTGTATGTTGACTTACCTGAGCCACTGCAGCAGGTGTACACACTCTGTGGAGTGCTGTGAATTACTGTGTAGATGTTACACTCCAACGAGCTCTGATTTAAGTCCAGAACTCTGCGCTCTGTTCTTCAGTTCTGACGCGCTCTGACAGCAGACGCTCAGCGCGTCGTATCCATTTTACGCACGGCTCAGGTGTCCTGACTCCTTACATCTCCCACCAGCTGGAACTTTTAGGTATTGTTTCATTAATTTCCTGCTCCAAATGCTCCTTTTTTTACGACGACCCTGCGGGGAAGCTACTGTAAAACGACGCATTTATAAGGAGCGTCTTTCTGCTTCTGAACCAGCAGGTTTCCGCCTCCGAAACTCTCAGGTGGAAGCACCTGTGCTCCCTCCTGATTGGAGGAAACGTCGGGATCCGTCACGTGGTCACGGATCAGGTGAAGCAACCGTGATGGGTGGGCGGGGCTTGCGGTTGCTCAGCAACAGACCCATGGGAGCGTGCGGCTCTTCAGTGACACAGGTCTTTGTATGGAGGGAACCCAGCCCAAAGGCGCTCCATTCACTCATGTTTTTAACCCTTGCATGCACAACACATTCACACCACATCTAATGCACACCACATTCACACCACATCTAATGCACAACACATTCACATCACATCTAATGCACACCACATTCACACCACATCTAATTCACAACACAATCACAACAATTTGGGTGATAACAACAGGACACAGGAAGAAGCTAAAAACAGTGCAGCAGACGTACAATTGTTGTTGTTGTTGTAAGTTCACGTTATACGAGGGGAAGCTGCACGAGCAGCTGCCAATTGTCCAAAAAAATGTTGAAATATTTTCTTTCTGGGTGTTTTCTTTTTTTTTTTTGTCTGGCCATAAGTGTGTAAACACAACTGGAGTTGGGTCAGGTATACACACACTCCATGAATAGAGGCAACATAATCATAATCTGTATTCTGTGTCAAATTATATTATTAATAATGTTAAATCAATAATGTTATAGAATTTTAAAAATGGGGCTTTTGGGTTGCCAGATTGTATGTTACAATTTTCGAACCCCCCAAAACACGTGCTCCATATTATCTGATGCTTTATTATGTAATATATGATGTGAAGGCAGATTCTAATCCCGACATCATTGTCGACCACGGCCGAGTTTACAGTTAGTCTCACTGTAACTGTAACTAATGAATTGACCCTTTATTCTTAAGTGTTCTCTTGTGGTACTGCCAAGTTTCGAAGTGTCACTGGATCCTCCTCCGACACGCTGGGGTGATAAGGAACGCCGCTTCCTCGTGGTATGAACGTGTAATCCCAGTTTAATGGTTTCTGTGTGTGTCCGTGCCAAGAGGGAAGACCCAGTCTGAGCAAACAGAGGAGGCTGAGATCAGGGACTGCCTTCACATTGTTTCCTTCTTCTGAGGTTTACAGGGAAAGTTTGCACCATGGCAACAGGACTGTATACCACGTTTGTCTGTCTATGATTTTTTTTTTTTTGAATACCTGAGGGACATCCTGTCCTGCCATCTGCACCGAAACCCAGGTGCATATGTGTAGAGTAAACAGAAACATTTTTTTAACTAGTTGATGGAGTTAAAGATAGATAAAGAATTCTGGTGCTATGTGAAAGTGGTATACAAACAAGTGGTGTGTA